AGGTGACTTGCGGCAATCTTTGCTCAGGATAGCAGCTGCCTCAGGGTCCCGGTGTCTCCAAGAGGCCGCATGAGCCTGGATCTCCCTCCTCCTCAGCCCCGAGGAGCCGCTTGGAAAGGAAGCTGGAGGAGGACGGTCCCCGTTTACTCCCTGAGGGAGAAATATGTCCTAATAAGTTTTCAGGCTTGTCTGTTGAGAGAAGCACTATTTGCCTTAACTCGAAGTGAAAAGGAAACCTTTCGCTGTTACCAGCTGCTGCACTACTCGAGGCACCTCCTGAAAACCTGCCGAGATGGTACAACTGGGGCGGAGCCCTGAACGGGAAGGGACTGGGTCTGGAGGGGAGGAAGGTGGGGGCAGCAGCCCCCATTTACTGAACATCCGCCACGTGACAATCGCTGGTCGGGGGACAGCCCTGCCACACTGTGCCGGGCAGACAGGTGTGGCAGACGAACAGGGAGCGTCAGAGGTGGACGCCGCGGTGGAGACACGAAACGAGGTGGCGCCTGGCTGCCTCGCGCGGCGCGGGCGAAGGTGCGTCCCGAGGACCGGGTCCGGGGGAGGGGACGGCGGCGCACTGACCCGAGAGGCCTGAGGGCCCCTCCCACCCGCAGGCATCCCCCCCTGAGGGAGCAGCGGCGCGAGTCCCGGGCGCCACGGTGAGTGGGCGCCGCCCTTGGGCAGGGACGCCACCAGCCCCGCCCTCCCAGTCGTACGGCCGGAAGCGGAAGTGGCCGTGGGCCGCTGAGTTCCGGTCGGGCCGCTGGCCGCAGCGAAACGGACGGCGAGGGGGTAGTTGACACAGGGCGGGGGCGGACGCGGACGCCGACTCCTGGGCAGTGGTCGCGGGTCTCCGCCGCTGTCCCTCTCTGGGCTCGGGCGGGCCAGGGCGCGGCGCGGCCCCGGGGGTGGACAGCGCAGCCTGGGCTGCAGCCACCGTGGCCCCAGCGCCTCAGGTATGTTCAGGCCGAAGTCGGCCGTCGCGAGTGGGTGACTGTTCGGTTCCGAGGGCGCCCGGCTGTCCCGGGCAATGGCGGTGGGAGCTGCGGCCTCCCACTGCCCCGAGGCGCAGACGGACGCTTTGCGCACCTGCGGCCTCTGGAAGCCCCTCCTTGTGCGACTGCCCGCCCCTTAGTGAAAATCCTGCAGGTGTTAATGTCGCTGGAAGTGCTGAAAACATGTCAAAGCGAAACAAGGGAACAAAAGCAAATATAGAGTTAGGAACGCGGGTGGATGCAACTTCGGAATGCAAAGGAAAAACCAGGAGCCCTGGTGGAAGTGCCTGCCTCTGATGGCGGGTTTAAGGCGGGTTGCCTGTTCAGATTTTCTGCATTGGTGTCCGTAACTTCATAATCAGAAAAATAAAAAAGAAAGACAGTGGTTGCAGTGTAGTTCCACTTGAAAGAGAAATAAAAAAGCATACAGTATACAAATGGAGGGATTATGTAACAGCCCTTAAGATAACCTCGTGGATTTCAGTGTTTTCCTGAAAGCGTGTGGGAGTAATTTAGGGAGAGGTTCGGTCTTTTTCATATTTTTGAGAGGTTGTGTAGAGAAGGTGTGCATGGAAATGGGAGTTCCGTGGCTGAAGTCAAGGGGAATGGGTTCTTGCGTTATCTTCTCACTTGCCAGACTCACCAAATCTCCCTTTTGGGTTCACAGCCAGGATGTAAGTGGAGCTGGGTTGAAGGCAGGTTTGCTTGGTATCAGAGCATCTCTGTTGTACCTCGTATGTGAGCCTTGTGCCCTCTCACCTCTGTTGACCAGGCTGTGTTAGATAGTAGGAAACAGGAATCTGGGTGCTACAGACAGTAGTGATTTTTGAGGGGAATCATGGGATGTGTGCTGGGACCTTGACTGGTGTGGTGAGGTGTGCTGTTCCTGTGCCTCCATGTCCTCACTAAGACATTCTGGTGCAGATGCCCCACCAGCATGGCCCAGAGGTGGTATGAATGATTAGGAAATAAGAAATTGGCCCTGTCTGGACATTATAAATGCTTTGGAGACTGACACCTGATAGGCTGAGTGGTCTGGGGTCCACATAGAGATATCCTCCATATGTTTATATCTTTTACCTGTGAATGCCTCTGGTCCCCTTAAAGGTAGAACTTTCTCCATAGTTGAGTTCTGAAGGTTTGTACTTCTTATTAAAGAGTTGATAATCCTAGTTCAGTGTTCTTTCAGGTTTACTGGATTAATCAAATGCTTTCCTTACAGCTCTACTATGAACAACTGGCTGTTGAGGGAGGGGGTTGTACCTAACATTTCTACCGTTCTAACACATCTTCCCCTCCTGTTCCCTATTCCCCATGCACACAGGGTACATAACTCTAGTATGATAGATTCGGAGATTCTGCCTACTTTTTAACCATGAAGGAGACAGACCGGGAGGCTGTTGCAACAGCAGTCCAGAGGGTTGCTGGGATGCTTCAGCGTCCGGACCAACTGGATAAAGTGGAGCAGTATCGCAGAAGAGAGGCCCGGAAAAAGGCTTCAGTGGAGGCCAGATTGAAGGTACAAGGCCAGAGAGGCCACAAGCACCTGCTGCACCCTCAGGCAGGATAGGGCCATTTATCTGGAGTTTTAGGTCCTTGCTTAGCTTCATTATTGTAATTTTCCTAAATGAGACATAGCGATCTGGAAAGAGACAGAGTGGAGCATGACCTTTACTTAGCACATTCCTTCCAACAGTATATTACCAATCAGTAGATTTATAAACAAGATTATGGGAATATTGAAAACACCAAGGGAACAACCTTTAACAGTTATTCTTTTTTCTTAAAAGCTCTTGTACAGAGTGCTTCCCAAGAATATTTTGTTTATATAACTTCAGCACACATTGTGTAGCAGGCTGACTGTGTGCCAGGTATTCTGCTGGCCCTGGTGTGGGAGGGGGGAGGAGAGTTAGACACATTTATTAAGAGTGTGTGAGAGTGGGGCAAGAGTGAAAATCATTCTTTTCAAGGTATTTTATGATTTGGATTGGCTTTCAGCTTAATTCATATGGAAAGGGGAGGTGAGGTTTCATTAAAATATGCACATTCAGTATAGTTATGAAAATGTTAAAACCCTGGACTGCTATGGTTGACAGGCAGCAGAACTGTCTTTGGTGAAAGTTAATTCTCACACTGATACAGCAGTGAGATCACCTCTCCACTAGAAAATACTAGCATCCAGGTAAGGTAACGGCAGCCTTGATGAGACAGGATGAGGCCATTCATTTGTACTAAGGTGGCATCCCAAAACCCATGGATGGATTTGAAACAGCAGTTTTGTATTAATTTTAAAATGAGTGTAGACCTGCTGCATTTTTAGTCAGAATGTTAATCTGCTCTGGAAACTTGTGGAATTAACTGAGGATCATCAGTAGTGACTTAGAAACCTTGTGTGGTCTGTTACAATCATTAGTAATTATTTCTAAATGCAACTTAAGACTCCTGGGTTAAAGGTGTTCTTGGCCTCTTTTATGCTACCCATCCACCTGCTGTTGCTTTGTCATGCCCTCTCCCTTCTGACTATACAGTTCCCTAGGTGGCATTCCTCTGGGGCTGGAGAGTGAGCCCAAACCTTATGTGTACCAGCTCTGCTCAGTGCAGCTGGCTGTCCTTGAGCAGAGTCTGGTTTGGGCTGAATGGCAGGAGACCCCTCATCCCTAAAGCTGATGAGCAAGTCCTGACAGTTTTCTGTACTGAGATAAGGCCTGTTAGGAAACTGAGAGGCACCTGGGAGATTATGGAAGGGGTCCTTCTAAAGATACCATTTAAGGGATGGCCATGGGACCTGAGGTGCAGCCACAGGGGCATCCATTCTCTTTAGTAGGAGGGGCTGGATGAGGAGTGTTGTGAGGTTTTCTGAAAAAGCTTTAAAAGACATTGTTTTTTCTAAGGCAGCAGTGAAAAAGAAAAAGTTCCCTTGGGAATCAGTTAGGTTCTTGTTGAGTTTTATTCTCTTTTCTCTGGTATTGACTGTTCCCTGCTACTACAATGGCATTTCTGCACTTGAGCCTCCTGGGAAGATTTGTTTGTAGTGCCCAGCACTGTTCACTGTCTCCCCCAGGCAGCTATCCAGTCACAGTTAGATGGGGTGCGCACAGGCCTGAGCCAACTCCACAATGCATTGAACGACGTGAAGGACATCCAGCGGTCCCTGGCCGATGTCAGCAAGGACTGGAGACAGGGTATCAACACTATCGAGAGCCTCAAGAACGTGAAGGATGCCGTAGTGCGGCACAGCCAGCTTGCTGCCGCTGTGGAGAACCTCAAGAACATTTTCTCAGGTAGCTGGGCTGACATTGGGGCCGGTGGGTGCCACGAGCATCATGGTTCAGAGTGCCACCAGTGCTCATGCCCATGGCTCTTACCTGGTTTTCCTTGCTCTGTGGGTGATGCAGAGGCAGTCTAGCTTCTGTGCAGTATGTTTTGTAGACCTGTCTCAGAGTGGGCAGTAGATGTGATTCCTGCTTGCACCATTACTTAGTGTTTTGAACACGGATGGAAATGATCAACTGAGCAAGTAAGAGCCAATAGTTCTGTGCTTTTTAGGACAGAGGCACAGAAGTGGGTGACTGAACCAGCGCTGTGTGAGCTGCGTTCCCTCAGTGGTAGTAGTTAGATCAGTAGACCAGCTAGGACTTTGCTAGATGCAGAAGAATAAAAATGCACCACACCCTTAAAAGGAGCTTATGGTTTTCTAGAGAAGCTGTCCTTTGAAAGGACAGAGGGAGTAGTCCCCAGAGGAAGAGGTGATTAAGGAGAGCAGCAGTTCCCAGGAGGAGGAAGAGAGTGCACAGGCCAGGGGCCTGGAGGTCAGGGGTGGGGCACGCTTAGGAGTCTCAGTCTTAGTTGGAACCAGACCTTGTGGAGGCTGCGTGTAAGATGCTCTAGAAACATGGTAGGCATAGTGGGAGCTTGGGGACGAGTAGTTTCTGTTGTGCTAAGAGCTGAAATTCACCAGAATTAACTGCAATTTACTGTCAGCGCCTTCCCTTGCAAGTTGCACGCCCTCCATGCTAGAATAGTTACATCAGACAGATTCTCTCAGTGCATTTGTTGTCCAGATAGGGAGGAGACAGATTCCTGGTGCTTCCTCCTCTGCTATCTTCCCAGAAGCCTGCACAGCCTTATGTGGTTTTTTACAGTGCCATTTGTGTCTTTTTCCCTAGTGCCTGAGATTGTGAGGGAAACCCAGGACCTCATAGAGCAAGGGGAGCTCCTGCAGGCCCACCGGAAACTAATGGACTTGGAGTGCTCCCGGGATGGGCTGATGTATGAGCAGTACCGTATGGACAGTGGGAACACTCGTGACATGACCCTCATCCACAGCTACTTTGGGAGCACACAGGGGCTCTCTGACGAGCTGGCCAAGCAGCTGTGGATGGTGCTGCAGAGGTCGCTGGTCACCGTCCGCCGTGACCCCACCTTGCTGGTGTCAGTTGTGAGGATCATTGAAAGAGAAGAAAAGATTGACAGGCGCATACTTGACCGAAAAAAGCAGACTAGCTTTGTTCCTCCGGGGAGGCCCAAGAATTGGAAGGAGAAGATGTTTGCCATCTTGGACAGAACCGTAATTACCAGAATCGAGGGCACACAGGCAGACACCAGGGAATCCGACAAGATGTGGCTCGTTCGCCACCTAGAAATCATAAGGAAGTACGTCCTAGATGACCTCATCGTTACCAAAAACCTGATGGTTCAGTGTTTTCCTCCTCATTATGAGATTTTCAGAAATCTCTTGCGCATGTACCACCAGGCCCTGACCACACGAATGCAGGAGCTTGCATCAGAAGACCTAGAAGCAAATGAGATTGTGAGCCTGTTGACTTGGGTCTTAAACACTTACACGAGGTAACACTAACTTTGTCTTGTGTTTTCTTTTACATAGAAACTGTATAAAAACATACTGACTGGCTCTGAACAGCTACTGTTGTTTTACTCCAGTCAGGTGCTCGGCACCCACAGGCATTATTTTCTGGTTGATAAAGTTGTCTTTCTAGTCCACCAGTGGGGGCTTGTCGGTGAGGTCAGGGCGCAGCCTCTGGTTGTTTGAGTGCTCTTATGTTTGGGTGGTGCCTCTGCCCCTGATATCCAGTCCATATTGAGCAGTTCAGGTTGGACTTTCCTATGGTACTAAGTGTTCACTATGTACTAACCTGCTTTCTCGAGGTGACACTGTGCAGGTGGTTTCACCTCCATGGACAGGTGAGGACACTTGGGCCCAAGAGGTCCTTCAGAGTCACATGGTTGGTGAGGAGACACCAACTAACTCTTTCCCCAGGTTTGGTTTCTTCTTCTCACCGGTATATTGGGAAAATCAGTTATCCATTTCACATTTCAGCCTTGGGGCTTTGTCACTTCACGAAAGTGACATGAGCCAGTTCATTCATGTGTTAGTTTAAGGTAGGGTTTGGAAAACGAGGCAATGGTGGGGAATTCTGAAATTCTTTAAAATCAGCTAGCTGAAAGGAAAACACATTTTAATCTTGTATGGTTTTGTGAATAGAAAACTATTAAGTACTGTTGGAATTTATTTATTTATTTATTTATTTATTTTTTCTATCTTGCTACTATTGTTTTAGCAGTAAGGTTCTGGGATTTTTTTGTTTGTGTCTTGTTTTTTTTAATCCTCACCAGAGGATATTTTTTCCATTGCTTCTCAGAGAGAGTGGAAGGGAAAGAGAAACATCAATGTGAGGGAGAAACATCAATTGGTTGCCTCCTGCATGCACCCCAACCGGGGCTGGGGATAGAGCCTGCAACCGAGGTATGTGCCCTTGACCAGAATCTACCAGAGACCCTTCAGTCCGTGGGCTGATGCTCTAACCACTGAGCAAAAGTCGCCAGGGCTGTTTTTAGTAACTGCTTATAGTAGAGAATGAGTACATTTCAATGCAGAAAAATATAAAGAGAGAGGAAATATCTTTTTAATCATTATCCTTGGGGCTGCAGCTTTGTTACTTCCTGTGTGCTGCCTTCACACAGCCTGGGAGTCCACAGCTGCCACGATTGCCAGTCATCTCCATGCAGCCTTGGCTACGTGTATTACCTGTGAGGAAGGCACCGTAATGATTATCTTCCTTTCGTACATGAGGGAACTGAGGCATAGGGAGTAATGTGCCCAATTCACATGGCCGGGAAGTGGAGTGGGGAGCAGGATTAAAATTTGGATCCTGGGCCCTTGCCTGTGCTCCAGCCACCTCACCATGGAGTGTGCATTTGTGTGGCATGCCCATTTTTGTGTGTTGACTTTGTTTTTTACTCACTACGTAAGCACTTTTTGTCCTTGGGAACTCTTGGGCAGCTTCCTATTGTCATCCTGTTCTGTCATATTGGACTTTACCGTGGAAAGAATTGAACTGCTTTCATACTGCAGACATTTTCATGCTGAATTAAGGTTTCTTGGGGTGAAAATAATGTGGGTTAAGTAAATAGTCTTTTAACATTGACATAATTTTATGAATTGCTTTTTTTAGTTAAGAAGACCTTGGATTTTTTATAGAGTGGACTAGTGCCATTTAAATACACATTTAGTGACTGCAGCATAAGGCATATGAATTTTCTGAGCAGTTGAACCTAACCACATACACAGGTATTAACTGTTTTTTAGGAAAATTTTTTTCTGAAACTTAGTCCACATCCCTGCCTTTTTTTTCTTTTATTTTTTTTAATCCTCACCAGAGGATATTTTTCCCATTGATTTTTCAGAGAGAGTGGAAGGAGGAGAGAGAGAAACATCGATGTGAGAGAGACACATTGATTGGTTGCCTCCCTCATGCACCCCGACCAGGGGCCGGGAGTGAACCCACAACCCAGGGACGTACCCTTGACCAGGAATTGAACCCGAGACCCTGCAGTCTGCAGGCTGACGCTCTAACCACTAAGCCAAACCAGCCAGGACCACATCCCTGCCTTCTTAGACACCTTGCTGACTAGTCATGAGTATACATGTGTTTCCGTGTCCGAATGTTGCTGACCAGTCATGAGATAACTCGTGTCTGCACTTATATTCATTTAAGTAATTTTAAAACACTTTGCTGACCAAAGTAGCCAGTTGCATGGGCGAGTTCTGACTCGAAATAGCTGGTCAGCAAAGTGCTAAACATGGTAGACTGGATTCAGTGACATTTTCTTTGCTGACTTGAGTTTCATTAGGGATGTCATGTGTTCTCTGCATTAGAGCTTATTCTCCAGTTTCATAGGATGCATCTTTTCAGCACCTTCTGTTTGACCCTGGTCTTCCATGGGAGGCTTTGTGGATGGAACAAACAGATCTCACCCTCACAGGGCTTCTTTCCTAAGTGAGCCTCCAGTATCCTGTGACATGGGCACAGGGGCTCCTTGGCCAGTACTCTTCCCAAGGCCCCACCTCCCCTTTCGACTGCCTTGAGGGTGGTTGGGTATATGTGTGTGAAAACAAATAGCAAAACTTGAGAATTTTATGTTTTCCTGGTTCTTAATCTTTCTCATTCCTGGGTTTTCCTGTAGCACAGAGATGATGGGAAATGTGGAGCTGGCCCCAGAAGTGGATGTCAGCACCCTGGAGCCTTTGCTTTCTCCAAATGTGATCTCTGAGCTGTTGGACACATACATGTCAACTCTCACTGTGAGTAGAGCAGTGTGTTGTTCTAAAACAGTCTGTATCTACTGCCCAGACATTGCACGGGGTCTTTGCGTGTCAGCCTGGAACAAATGCTTGTGAGCAAAAGCATGGGTGAGACCCTGCCTTGACGTTGGTCTCCTAAGGATGTGCAGACTCTGTTTGTGGGAAATTGGGTCTTGAAATGTACATTTGCCAGTTAGAGGAGGAGAGTGGCCCAATCTTTAGCCCTGGATCTGGAGATTGTCTGGGGTGTACATTCCACAGGTATGAAAACCATCTCTGGTTGGAGGAGTGAGCCTGTCCTGTCCCTAGTAGGCTGGCAAGACCCCAGGACATCCTGATGATGTGTGGTGGCACCTACCAGCTTGGGAGCATTGAGCCTGGGAGTGAGAAGGTGGCAGTTAGGGCACCAAATGCTGCCCAGTGACCCCCAGGTGGTCTCAGAGTAAGATGAGGTGGTCAGGGTCTGCTTCCTGGGATGGTTTACCTGCTCACCACACAGTGTTCTGACATGTGGAGGCCCATGCCTGGAAAGCAGGGAGGGGCTCTGTGCACGGAGCTGGTGATGGAGCTGGTGTCTGGTCTTCCACTGACAGGTCTGCCTTGATCCTTTGTGTACTTCTGACAAACTGGCCTGTCCTCCTAAAGGTTAAGTCAGTGGAGGCTGGCAGTGACACTACCACTGTGGAGCTGGCTCTTGGGATGGCTTTTGTGGCATTCTGTTGTTTGGGAGCAGGAAGTCTTAGGGTGCTGTGTTTGGTTTCTGTAGCTGCACCACTATATCCTTGGCTCAGAGAGCCTGTTTTTTTCTCCCTTCCTCTGATGCTAAACTTCCTTAGTCAAACATCATTGCCTGGCTGCGGAAAGCTCTAGAAACAGACAAGAAAGACTGGATAAAAGAGACTGAACCTGAAGCTGACCAAGATGGGTACTACCAGACGACACTCCCGGCTATTGTCTTCCAGGTACCATCTGCAGATTCTGAGGTTCATTTCTGGGTAATTAATAGAGCCTATGGGTTTTACAAATGAACACAAAGTCCCTCATTTCATAGTGAAGATAGAACCCTGTGTAGTTCCTCAGGTCCTCCTCTCAAGCTGAAGAAACTGAGGGTTGTATCTGCCAAGTAGTTCTGCCCAGGGTCATTTTAGTTTTCCTAATCCTTTTTTACTTGAAATAAAACTGAATTCTTTGTTATTTGTGTGTAACACTCAGATTTGAGTTTGTTAGGTTAGAGTTTCCTGATATTGTAAATTGCCAAGATATAGCTTCATAAATGCTACAAAATTGAGGCTAACCTGATGGATTTGGGGAAGAGTCCTTTAGATTTTAACGATAATCATGCATTTTTATAGTTAGTTTACTTTTTAATGCCCAGTTGCCTGCTGGTGTCCCCCTGTGTTGTCCTCTTTTTCTCTTGCCTGTGGAATCTTTTCCCTTTGAGTGAGTTACTGACAGTAGGAGAGCTGAATCCTATGGAATATTTGTATGCCGCTCTGCTGACAGAACTGCAACTCTTGCCAGCAGAAGTGAGTGCTGATGGTGTTTTTCTTTAGGTGATACCATTAGGTAGCCACAGGTTGGTCCTCACCCTTTATTTTGAAAAGTCTGACATCATGATAACCCATTTATGACAAGGACCTGGGGTGAACTCTGCCTGCTGGCCCTTCTCTGTCTTTCCAAGTCCAGTTCCCCTCAGCTCCAACATACGTCCTAATTCTTCTTAAGAAATACACATAACTGCCTCACCGGGCGTGGCTCAGCGGTTGAGCATTGACCTAGGATCCAGGAGATGACGGTTCAATTCCCAGTCAGGGCACGTGCCTGGGTTGTGGGCTCGATCCCCAGTGTGGGGCATGCAGGAGGCAGCCGATCAATGACTCTCTCATCATTGATGTTTCTATCTCTCCCTCTCCCTTCCTCTCTGTCTGAAATCAATAAAGATGTATTTTTTAAAAAAGAAATACACATCACTGATCACAGCACAGCCCCTGGCCCACATACCACCGTGTCTCTGGACCCCCCATCTCCCTGTCAGCTTCCCCCTTCAAGGGGACTTGCCTGTTTGCAGGTAATTAGGAAATTATTTACTTGTTTTTATACCCGGTGAAAAAGTTGTTTGTTTAACTAACTTTATTTTCACATGGTTTCACTTTTTCCCCCGAATTTGGATTGTTCTAACTACCAGTTAGCAGATGGGAATTTTATATAATGGGAAACCTGTGCTGTTGTGAGTTTATGTCAAAATTCATACGTTCTCCAATTTTTAGATGTTTGAACAGAATCTTCAAGTTGCTGCTCAGATAAGTGAAGATTTGAAAACAAAGGTACTAGTTTTGTGTCTTCAGCAAATGAATTCTTTCTTAAGTAGGTATGTATTTTTGCCAGTGTACTATTTTAGAAAGTAGATGTTTTTAAAAATTAAAAGCAAAAATGTGTTGATCTTGATATGTCAGATATTAAAAAAGAACTTAAGCCTGTGTTGACTGTAGTCACCTTCTTTTTTTATTTAGAAAGGCAACCTTTTTTTGTTACCCCCTGTTGAAGGTATTTCAGCAGCCCCTAAGAACCCAGAGCTGATCTGTGATGTCCCCAGCAGTGTAGTCAGTATGTCACAGGACTGGAGTTAGAACTTCTCTTGAGATTCTTTTCCTTCCTGTAGTCTGAATTTCTGGGGTGAGGAGGACAGCTCCAGGTGCAGTGGTCACTCTGAATTCCCACCACTGGGAGGTACCCTCAGCAAAGCCAGCCCTGGATTGGGGGGGGGGGCTTCAGAGGGACTGTGTCCAGGACACCTCCCTCCCTTTGAATTGTTCATGAAGCAGATTTTCAAAGCTGTGCAGAAGGAGAAAGAATGACGTAAATAACTGTTTACCTGTCATCCAGGTTCAAAAGCTCTCCCTTTAAAGCCACCCCTTGCTTCATCTGTCTCTCTCCCTCCTCCCCTCCCTCCCTTTGTTGAAATGCGCACATTGTCCTATAGAGTGACCAGCGTCCTCCAGCCTGGGTCTCAGGTTGCTGTCTGCCCACAAACCATAGGTTGTTTCTAAAGGCTTGTAGGACTCCCCTTCTTTACTTAGTGTTCAGCAAGAACCCTGCATAGATAGTGTGTGCGCTCCACATAGCAGCACATCAGGAGATGCTTGTCCCTCCATCCTGCTCTGGTGGCTCGATGCCAACAACCAGGCCCCTCAGAGTCCCCATCGGCTGTCCATCTGGGGAACATGGCCTGAGTTAGTCATTTTGTTAGAGGAATGAGGTGGGATTCTTCTGTAAAGAGGAAGTCTTTTTCACCTGCCTCAGTGGTTTGATTACCTGAACCACACTTTGGACAGAAAGGTAGAATAAATACTGAATAATTTCCTTTTAATTGCCACCTTTCAGTTTGGGCCTTTCTTAAGATCTGTAGCACGTTGTACTGTTCTATTCCCATACATGTTTGAGAATCTCCATAATAAGTTCAAAAATAAAGCATGTAGCCATCTCAGTTGTTTGTTTTTGTGACATCTACAGAGTCTAATTTATTTTTAATTTGATTTCTTCATGGAGAGTTTCAGAAAGGGACATTTTATCTAACACTCGGTAGTGTTCCCGTTGTATAAGTTTCTAGGCGAATTATGTCAGATAAAATAATACTTTTCCAATTACTCATAATATTTCAGAATATTTGTATAATCTGAATGCTGAATCCTATTTCAAAGGATTGATATGAAATTAATTTTTAATAATTTATTTTAAATGACCAACTTTTCTGTTCAATTAGTATAGAGCATCCAAAACAAAATTTTTTTTAAAGACTCATCTGGTCAAGTGTTAGTCATGTGAAACATCTATTTAGGTGTGATGTCAGCATGGTGTTTGAAACACCTGCCAGTTATCCTCTGATAGTGTGTGATGTGGGTTGTGTGTCCTCAGATACAAAGATGAAGCCCAGTTGTATAAAGAGGAGCACCTGAGAAACCGGCAGTACCCACACTGCTATGTCCAGTACATGATTGCCATCATCAACAACTGCCAGACCTTCAAGTAAGTGACCGTTAGGGAAGAAGATAGGCATGTGAGGACACACAGCCATCTCACTGAGCCTCAACTGTTCCCTTGCAGAGAATCTGTAGTCAGTTTAAAGAGGAAGTATTTAAAAAATGAAGTGGAAGAAGGTGTGTCTCTGAGCCAACCAAACATGGATGGGATTCTGGATGCCATCGCAAAAGAGGGCTGCAGCAGCCTGCTGGAGGAGGTCTTCCTGGACCTGGAGGTAGGGCACTCTGACTGCACTCAAGCTGCGTGTGCACTTGCCTTCATCCTTAGTCACAGTTAAAGCGCCGTGGTTTTTCTGTGACACGGTGTGCTCTGTCTGGTGTAGGCCCAAGTTTTGGTCCTTCTGCTACACAACTGAATAGACACTCCCAATAAATATCGTGGCCTACAAACTAAAATCAAGTATATCACAAGAAGACTGTTATATTCATTAGCAGAATCTTGATGCCAGACCAAACTGAGATCATGTGCATGGTACGCACACGTTACATAGACAAGTCTCGGTTTTGAATAAAGATACAGAACAAAGTCATTAACAAAATGCATTTAGCTTCATATCAAAGGCGTAATACACCACGAGCAAGTAAGGTTTATTTCACAAATATAAAGATGGTTCAGATTATATGGGTGTATTGGCAGAAACCAGAATATGTTTAAAAAAATAAAACCATTGTCATAGGTCCCTTGGAAAGGAGCTCCTGGGATGATTGGTGGGATAACTTCATGATTCTGTAACTTTCTCGAAAATGGTTTAGAAAACAAATGAAATGTGTGAATTTGAAATTATTTCAGAATATGAAAAACAATATAATCAAAAAGTAAATAAAGGACATCAAAAACCACTTCACAGCAAAAGGATCACAAATATCCTAAATATGAAACAAAATGCCCAGTCTTACTGATCTTCAAAGAAATGTAAATTTAAAAAATATTACTTGTTTATCAAGATGACAAGGATTGCAGACATTGATACCACTTGGTGTTGTTAAGGGCATGAGCAAAGGCAGTCTTTTTTTTTTTTTTAAATCCTCACCAAAGGATATGTTTGTTGATTTTAAAGAGGAAGGGAGAAAGAGAGAAACATAGATGTGACAGAAACATTGGTTGCCTCCATTATGCTCCTGGACCGGGGATCGAACCAGCAACCTAGGTGTGTGCCCTGACTGGGAATTGAACCCACAACCTTTATGGTGCATGGGATGATGCTCCAACCAACTGAGCCACCCTACTGGCGCCACGGGGCAATCTCGTGTTCTGTGTAGAATGTGAGGTGTGCAGTTTTTGGAGGACAGTGTGGAAACAATGTTTTAGTTTCCATACTTTTTAAGCAATTCCACTTTTAAGAGTTTTACCTGCAGAAGTGTACAAATTTACTGCAGCATTATTTAATTGCAAAATGTGAAAAATGTTAAATGTCTATCAGAATTGGGTAAATAAATTACAGAGTATTTGTATAATATATACAGGGTGGGGCAAAAGTAGATTTACAGTAGTTTGTATGAAAAATAATAGAATAATAATAATACAAGAATAAACTATAACGTACTCACAACTGTTAACCTACTTTTACCCAAACCTGTACATGTAGTCATTAAAGGTGAAATGTGTACACACAGATATCTGCATACCTCACAGGTGTGTGTGGTCTGAGTCCTTTGAGGTTAAAGTACATACTTGCAGGTCACGCATCCATAGTGCTTGTGATTACCAGGTGCTCTCATATCAGCACATCAGTGCCTCCTTCCTGATGTACGTGACTTAGGGACAGTATCAAGGTGATGTTTTCTGTCATTTGTGCTTTTTAGCTACAACTCAGTGAGCTGATGACAAAAAAGTGGCTGTTGGGATCGAATGCTGTAGACATCATCTGTGTCACTGTAGAAGACTATTTCAATGATTTTGCAAAAATTAAAAAGCCGTATAAAAAGGTAAGAGTGTGGGGCACAGTCATGTAATCTGAGCTCACCTGCATGCTGGAGCCCATGTGGCATTTTGTGTAGAATTCAGTGTCAAATTAGTTCTGTGAGTGAACATTCACAGATGGTTTTATTAACCTATGGCAGGTAGGAGACATCAGTGTCTAAAGATATGATAAAGTTGGTGTTGGAACCTGTGAGTGAAGATTTAGACCATTCATCTGACTTGACTGTCTCCTCCTGACACCCCACTAAACCCACACTGACACACAGCCACAGACCTGGAACCCTGCGGGTGGTGGGGGTAGTAGCTGTCACTCTGATAAGAAGACGGAGAAAGGGCAGTCCCCTGTCCAGATCCCCATCAGGTCACATTGACTGCCTGCCCTTCTCTACTCTGCAGGGGCCCCGTGAGAACAGGGAGGTCCTGTGTTAACTCGCTGTCTGAGTCTCCTCCAGGCCTTAACCATGAGACACCACCATGTCCTCATCCAGGGCTTGGGCATTTTTCTTGTACTTGGCCTTGTGTAATTTTTGCTGTTGTTGCTATTAAAAGCATTACTTTGTAAAATGAGGCTTTCTAAAACTTTTTGTTTCTAGAAATTAAGTGGTTTTGATATGTTGACTTCATATCTGCACACTGTAAAACTTCTAATTGTTCCTAGGATTTGTCTCCACATATTTTCATGTCTCTATGCAGTCACATGTTTTACCTGTGAACAGTGACATTGTGTGTTTTCTTTTCTGGTCCTTATAGTTTTTGTGTCTTCTCCATGTCTTGCTGCACTGGACATGCAGCCCGGGTCATCGGTGTCTAATTACTAATTTTAAAGGAAATTCTTCTAACTGCCATTAAAAGTGGTATTTGCAGGGAGACCCAGGTGTTCTAAGTCCACCTGACTCATGGGTCCCTTCACAGCTGTTAGGAGCCTCTGGTGCTTAGAGGTCGGTGGGACCAGCTGTGGTCAATTTTGAATTTCTTGTTTCTTGCACAGTTTTTATTTCTTTAAACATGTGTGTTGATTTAACAGTTGATGTCTGGGAGTCCTGAGGCCAGGAGCTTATTGTCTCTGTGGACTCCCAGTCTTGGTGGCTTATCTCCTGGTGTGGTTGGAGCTCATGCCTAAACTGAGAACGTCTGCTCTCCTGAGAGCCTGGGCTGTTGGAGCGGCACACAGTCCTTTGACCCTGGTCTCGGCGGTGGCCCCATGTTGGTGCTTGGTGCCATCTTGCTTGTCTTCTTTGGGGCCCTTGGGGTCCCCCTCCCTTTGGCACAGGATGTGGAGCATCCAGCCTCCCCAAGTAGATACAGCTTCTGTTTGGTGTGGGGCTGTGATGCCGCATATCACATCACTGCAGTTTTATTTACATATTTGCGGGATGACTGCCTGGTGCTCAGGTGCTACTGGGGGTGGGCTCCTGTGGGAACCAGCATCTACATTGTGTCTGCATATATTGTGGAGATCCGTGGCCTTCTCTGAAACTTCCTCAAATGGATCGATTCGGGGTTCCTCCTTCCTCTGAAGCTCTCACAATTTCCACAGACTGGTCATTAAACAGCCTCCTGTGGAGAAGGCACAATGTGTGTGCTTTGTGTACATCTATCCTGTGGAGCCTGTCTTTCTGTGAGAGCTGGAGGTGGGGCCTGGCCTGGGGTTCCCAGTTTCCCCACTGACCCCACACTCTGCTCTGGGGGTGAAGTGCTCTGAGACTCATGCAGGATGGGGCAGCTAGAGGAGTTGACTGGAGTCACCCAGAGGGGTGGGTGTGGGGCCCTGTGAAGGGCTCTGCGGAAAGCAGGTGCTGTGCTGGAGCAGCTGGCAGGAAGCTTTCCTGCAGTGACGTCTTTTGCTAAAAGGACATGTCATGTGAGGCTGCAGGCAGGCGTCATTTGGGGACCTTTAGTCTGTTTGCTTTCTGGAGGGACCATCAGCATCTGAGGCACAAGGTCAGCTCCGTGGGCGCTCACCTGCATGGCTCCTGCCTGTGCTGTGCCCTACCTGTATAATTCCCTCTCACCTTTGGGTTTTAGGGAAACAGTGAATACTGCTATAATTTTCTAAAGTAAAATTTATAATTAAAAGTCACAGAGGTGCTTATTTACTTAATATATTCACTCTGAAGTTCTGCTGTTTGTATTGACGGGAAATGGGAAGGAATTGTGCTGTGTTCACATATTGACCTAAATTTCAAGTGGAGCCCATGTGTTGGCTGAGCTGACATGTCTCTGCTTCCCAGCGGATGACAGCTGAGGCACACCGACGCGTGGTGGTGGAGTACCTGCGCGCCGTCATGCAGAAGCGCATCTCCTTCCGTGGCCCCGAGGAGCGCAAGGAGGGTGCCGAGAGGATGGTCCGGGAGGCCGAGCAGCTGCGCTTCCTGTTCCGCAAGCTGGCATCTGTGAGTGCCACTGCCTCCTTCCCTTTACTGTCACTAACAAGTATCGCTGTGGCTTTTTTTTGTTTCAACCCCTGGGAGTTTTAGGGCAGTTGATTAGGATCAGTCACATCAGGAACCAAGTAACCGGTTGATTCTTGTTTCCTTTGTAAACAGGAGGATCTGCGTGCAGATCTGCCTCACCTGTGGTTGGGGCACATGCACTCAGGGCAGTAGCTTCTAGACTCTTCTGGTAGCACCATGTAGCCAGACTTCAACTTTGAGACACAGTGCTCACATATCCCCTTCCTCATGAGGGACTGAGCTGATTTCATGGCCCACTCAGACCCCCAACCCCGTCTCTGTGCTGTGTGCTCCCATGGGAATGGGTCACTTTTGGGAACTGGTCTTGGTGTTTACATGAGAGGAGGGAGCGGGCTGGCCAGCCAGGCATCCTTAGCCAGAGAGAGGGTTTGACAGACTCCAGCTTGCATCTGGCTTAGAAGCATGGGGGTACTGCGCGCTGCTCATGGCCTCCATGCTCACTTCTAGGGATTTGGCGAAGACGCAGATGGGTACTGTGATACCATCATCGCCGTTGCAGAAGTGATTAAGCTGACAGACCCTTCCCTGCTCTACCTGGAAGTCTCGACTCTGGTCAGCAAATACCCAGACATCAGGTAACGACCTCCTAACTCAGCTAGAACTCGGGGAACAGAGCAGCAAGATCGTCCCCGGGGTCCTGGGCTTTAGGTTTAACCCCCAGGGATGACAGTGCAGTAGGTCAGGGCTCCCTCAAGGACAAGCTGTGCAGACCACAGTTGCAGGCAGAGTGGGTTTCTGAGAATGATAATGGATATGCCTGCATCTCATATGCCCTCCTGCCAGCCCTGCTATGGTTCATGTACCTCCCAGTGGTCAATGCGAGTGGGGCCGGGCGGAGGCTTGATATTGGTGGGAAGGTGGCTGAACAGAGTGGTTTTAGGAAGCTTATATGGTGCTTGTGGTGGATTCAGAGAAGGGAGCCTGCGTGCCATGCTTGGCCAGGACACCTTCCAGCCTTCATATGGAAGGGGCCTGTCTACAGTGCTGTCTACAGTGCTGGCTGCAGGCTCTCACCAGCCTCTCTGAACCCATCCAGGTCACCTCAGCCAGGTTTCTTTTTCTCCTGTTGTTCTGGGCTTGCTTTGAGCAAGAAGAACCAGTGTTCCTGGGCTCTCCAGGGTCCTCGTGCTCTAGTTAGTTCATTAAACAAAGATTTAAAAAAGCAACCTTTAAAAAATTTTGCAATTGTAGGTTAAAAAAAAGACCACATTAGAATATGAAAATTTGGGCTTCTCTCCCTCTGGTATGCCAAAGGAGACGTGCCTCTCATCTGCAGCTGTTGACCTGGTTCTGGGGCCCTCAGTGTCTGCGGAGCTGCAGGCAGTGGGGGAGGGGGACTTGATGCATCCCCCACAAACCCCTGTCTTCCCCCCCTTTCCCAGGGATGACCACATTGGTGCGCTGCTGGCTTTGCGAGGGGATGCCAGCCGGGACATGAAGCAGACCATCATTGAGACACTGGAGCAGGGCCCCACGCAAGCGAATCCAAACTATGTGCCCATCTTCAGGGAAATCATAGTTCCCAGTCTGAACGTGGCCAAGCTCCTCAAGTAAACTTTCAGTTTCTGACCTAAACGTGGTCCCGTGATCTTTACCCTGTGTGACACATCCAGTGACTCATGGTGCCGAGCGCAAGGCTGCCTGACAGACCAATGCTCTGGTGTCATGTTCTGTCCCTCTCATCTTGCTGTGGACAAGCTTTGTGAGCAGGGTACTGGTTGACTGTTTTGTTCACCTCTCGATCCTACTCCCTTCTGTAGTGTCAGCACTTCTGATGCTGTTCAATAAAAGGAAACGCTGTGGGGAAATGAGAGTTTTCCAACTGTTTCTTAATAGCAGTGACTGCAAGGGTCTCAGGGCATCTGAAGGCCACCCTCGCCTTCACCTGCCTGGACGATCCCACTGGTGTCCCTCCTGCCCGCTGCTCCGCACCTGCAGAGGCAGCAGCCCTGGGTGTTTCAGATTTATAGTCCCTGCTTATTTCTGACACAGCGTCCCTGAGACCCTCTTTCTTTCCTTCAGCGATCTCTCCATGGCTGCCTTCATACCAGGCTCATGGAAAGGTCAGTGAGCCCCTGTGTGTGCCTCCCCAAACCTTCCTCACCCCACCATCCCAGTGAGCGAGATTTCTTGGGTGGACTGTGCTTGGGTTTAGCTGCGCAGTGCTGACTAAAACAGGAAGTGGAGGCGTTTGCCTGTTCCTCTGCCACAGGTCCCTTCTACCTTTGATTCAGGGTCCCAGGTACTGGCCAGTTCAGGCTGGAGGTCGTCCCTCAGGGAGGCGCCTGTGCTGCTCCCTCCCTGCAGGACAGCTCGTGTGGTGTCGGACTGCCTTGAACGTCCCAGTGTGTCTGACAGGCTTATTTCCTCTTAAGACATGTCCCAGTCACAAAGTTGATACTGTGCTTTCATCCTCACGAGACATGAAAAACTCACAAATAGGACTCTTTCTTGAAGGAATCAAAACTGAAGTGGAATTAGGTAACTAAACATTAAATCTAGTTCTTATAAGTATTACTGACTCAGAAGAGAGATAATCTTCCCAAAGACAGCTAATGTGCAGTCTCTATATTCATATTAATCTAGTTCCCTACTTAAGACATGCTTTAAACAGTATCTAGCAATGCTCAAAAATATTTTTAAGTTAAATTGTTCCACATTAATTATTGCTCCTTATAATAATAAAAATACATATTTTATTTTCACTCCAAGTGACTTCTGGAATAAATCCAGGGCTGTCTAGAGAGTAAGACCCCAGTGGCGTACGTTCTGACTGGTGTCCTGCTCTGATTATGTGATGGTCACTGGCTATGTCCACTTCCAGGACACCTGCAGTAACAGCTGAGCATTGGCTGCCCAAGCCGAAGGCACAGTCCAAACAGTGGGTACATGTGATTATGGGGACAGGATATTGGCTAGGATGTGCTGGGCAACATGGGGGTGCCCATGGAGGAGGGCCATGTCCCGGTGGGTGGGCAGTGGGTGTTCACACCAACACCCAGGGGAGGGTCATGTCCAGACCACCTGGCGAGAGGTGAGCAGCAAGACCAATACCTGCCTCCCACACGCTGCCAAGTGCCCTTGATTTAACAGGACAGCCTGCAGCCTATACCAGGAGCTGGTTTCATCCCATCTTCTTAGGCCACTCACTGTCTACTCACTGAGTCTTGGGGTCATTCTTCGTAAAAAAAAACCTTACTGTTCCAGAGAAAGAACATCTTCAGGAAATTTCCTTGACTCATTTTATTTGGTGGGTTTTCAGAGAGTGGGAAAGAAAGGGCTCCTGAATATCTAACTGATGAGAGTCATGTAGCTCTTGCCAGTCAGCCTTACCTGATATACGGTCCCCTCGTATCTTCTAACATACCATCCAGGCTGCTGGGATGAGAACACCCAAGACACAGGGCCTGAGAGCATGGGAGTTTCTATCCAGAAGAAACCAGTCATGCCTGATGGGTAATACCATGGCTGTTTGGCCTCGCCCTTCTGTGCAGGGCATGCCTTGGCTAGGATGGCACCAGACACCAGTTGCCAGTTGGGTGCAGACATGGGACACAGAGCAAGGAGAGGCCAGAAAATGGCTCCTTCTGTTAGCCAACAGGTAGGTGGGGCCCTTACCTGATGTTACTGTGTCCTTACAAGGTGATACCAGGTAAAGACAAGCCTTATCTCTGCCGTGCAGAGACCCTCCTTGTGCACATAGGCTCTGGACCCAGCTCTTGTTTTAGCCCCAGGCTCACCCCCCCCCCTTGATGTTTCAGGTGCTTCATTCTCCCACTTAGGCTGGGTGGGCGCTGCTCCCATCCTTCCTGGGCCCTGTCCTCTCTGTGCTGTGATGAGTCTAAGCGAGAGAGTGGTGGTGTCCACCTGTCTCTGCTGGGGAGGAACCAGTTTCCAGGGCCCAGGCTATGCCCACAGCTGTGTGTCCAGTGACCTCGTACCAGCCAGTAGGGCCCTCCTCATTCTCTCTCTCTCTCTCTCTCTCTCTCTCTCTCTCTCTCTCTCTCTCTCTCTCTCGTTCACACACACACACACACACACACACACACGCGCGCACACACGTCAACATTAACTCCAGCACCAGAACAATGTATGCCTTCAGGAGACTGCTCCTTATGTTCTCCTTGATGTGATTTCTCACTGAAATCATTTTTGCACCATGCCTTGAAATGTTTTTAATAGATTTGATCAGGCAGTATGGCAGGGTCTATGATGGGCCCCCTGCCCAGACACTGCCAACAGCACATTGGGGGACACTTTAAGGCACATTGATTGTGGTTAGGGTTACACAAAGTTTGACTAAGATCGTTTTCACAAAATTAAATTCACAATTTCACCACTCATAACTTACAATACATTTCAATTCCAGTTTCATTGAAATTCTTGCTTTAAAAATCTCCTTTCTCAATGGATCAATAGTACAACAATATGCGAGCAGTGTGACAAAATTTTCAAGATACAGAAGTGAGAAACAGTGACTTCTAAATTTGTGTGCTTTATAGTCTACCACAAAGTAGGCCAAAGTTCAGTATTAAATAAATAGGAATTCTTTCCTAATAAAAAAATTTTACAACATTTTCCTAAGGAAATACATTCATAAGATATTGTTTACATTCTGTTTTACAGTGACAAGAACAGCTAGGATTCTCATTTATGAAATGTATCCACAGTACTAGGGTTTATAACACTGTGTTGACAGAGTTGTCTCTTGATCACTGAAATGTGCAGTTTTGGGTTCTGTGAGGTTTCATGTCTGGAACTTTGGTTCCATTATGGCTGTGCTTAGACTGTGCAGTTCAACAAACAGAAAATCTGCCCACCCACCGCAGAAACACAGGGCTGAAGGGTTTGTCCAGGAGAGATTTGTCGAATGGATTCACCACCTGGCAGTTTAGTGTGTCGAGTGGGTCAAGTAAGGTATCCAGGAACTGCCCTTGAGCTGCTTCACCCAACTCAGCCTCTGGCCCTGCAGCTGGAAATTGGATGAGTCCTGTGGTCCAGGGGAGTTGTTAAGGCAGCTGGAGATGCCAGACTGGCTGGGCTCAGTGCCTGCTGGCCTAGGATCACTAATAGGCAGGTTTTGTTGTGCAGATCATGTCTGGGTTTTGTGCTCTCAGAGTTGATTAAAATGGTTGCAAAGTGTGGGAAACAACTACTGAAAACCACCGTCACTTCTTTATCTGTGATGGCTGAGCTAATGATTCAATTCAAATAATGAGCAGCTCTGCTCCTCTTAGGATAAAGAGCCTTCTCTGTATTGGTGAACAAACACCACACTGAATGTTCCTTTTGCTGTTGGTTTTTTTTCTCAGCAGCAAAGCAATAATCAGTAAATTGTAGAGACTTTCCCATCAGGGACTCAATGTGCACCATGAAAACACTACAAACTGCTAGTAATCCTGACCTGTGATGGCTGTGAGCATTTGAGCACAGCATGAAGCCGCCTTTCCTGAGCAGAGCTGAGTGGCTTTAGAAAAGCCTCTAGGAGTGTCCTGAAGTCCACTGTCCCTTTAATCCTTCACTACCTTGTCTTCATGCAAAACACTACCTCTGAGTAATGGATGGGCAAATGAGGGCCAACTCAGGGGCCCCTTTCCTGGCTCACTGCTCCCCCCAGACAGCCAGGCAGTAATCTCCTTTTAGAGGCCTGGCAGGGTAGAGGATTGCGAGGGGATCTCTAAGGCCATGTCCCTGAAACCTCAGAGGGGATGAAGGTCTGTGCTACAACAGCCTCAAGGAGTCCCAGGAGGGCCTGAGCATCCTTCCAAGTCCCCTTAGCTCTCCATGAAGCAGCAGCTCCCAAGGGCAGGGCTTCCACCAGCTTCCCCCTGCTGTGGCTACGAGGGGCCAGACCAACCACCTGGCCCAGGTCCACTTAAGGACTGGCTGTAATTCTGAACAAAAGATGCTTGCTAATGAAGACCCCACTCGACTTAGCTGGAGCTGTGTGGGTGCACCCATGGGGCCAGTGCAACCTCTGCCTCAGCCTGGGCTATCTGCCAGTGTCAGGTGGGGCAACTCAGGCCAGAGAGCAGGTGTTTGGGCATGGGGCAGCACCTGGTACCCAGAAGCTGCCACACTGAGACCCAGGCAGGACAAGTGCTGGGTTCTGGAAGTCTCAACACAAAAAGGATGAACAAACAGATGTTTCTGCAATTGTACCCACTCCATAAGGTGACAGGTGATTCACAGAACTGGTAAGTGGTCATGATATCACACAGGGCCTAGCACAACGACAACCTCAACCACTTGGCCTGTGAATTGCTCCTGGAGTCAGGGCCTCTGACCTCCTAGGGCCCTGAGAGAGGCCAGCCTGGGCCTGGAATCAGGTTGGTATTATGGGCAAATCTCATTTTGCATGAGTCTCAGTTTCCCTGGCAGTGCTGATGAGAGAATGGACACAAAGTGGCAAGAACTCAAACACGGAGCCTGGCCTCTGGGGTTCCAGTCCCTGAGTCAGGGGTGACAACGGGAATAGTAACAAGTGCCAGCTCAGTTCAAAACCAGGACAGGTGTGCAGAAAGACCCACGAGGCAGTCTCGTACAAGGGCACCTGCCAAGACCTCCCAGAAGCTGGAGGCTTGGCCACTGTCCACTTTCTGCCCCACAGGGTCTCCTCTCCAGGTGGCGCCGAGGAATTTCAAGGTTCAGTCCTTGCAGACATTTGGTCCCCCTGCTGCCGATCCCACACGCATACTTCGGTTGGGGGCGGAGGGGGGTCGCCCAAGGAAGACTCCGGGTGGATAAGGCCAGGGGAAGACTCCCGGGGTCAAGGCCATGGAGAGGACACCAGGGCGGTCGCAGCAATCACAGGGGTGTCTCCTCCTGCTCCAGCTCGTGCGGCGGCGTGTGGCACGATGGCTGCAGCGACGCAAGCTTGAGCAGCGCGGGGCGGCGCGCCCGGGGCCGCTGGAAGGAGCGCCGGCTGTGCACGCGGCGCGCAGCTGCGG